TAGCGAGAATTTACTGTATTTCATAACAGATGAAAATTCTTATTACTTCAATTATCAAAATTTTAATTACTTCGAATGTGTGATAAGAGGTATAGCTGCATATGGGGGTCAAAAGCATCGTCGAGGCGATACATTGTGTAAAATTTCAACCCTGTATCTCGATCGAGAGGTAAAACGATCAGGTGAAATCGACAAATTAGTTTCCTGCCTGTTTTCCCTAATTAATGATGCATGGAAATTTTGAGAGAACTCTGATGCACGTCAAACGCCGAAATACATACCACCGAATTCGTTTCAAATTTTTTAATTGAAAACACTGGTCTTCAAAAAATCAATATCCTCAAAAAAACGAAGAACTGCAGATTTCATATGGAAATTTCAGAATGACAGAATTTGTATTTGCACAGTGTCTCTCCAATTGTCCCTTAGCTTGTGAACTGAAGAATTGACAATTTGGGAAAAGGAGATACGATTATTCGAGCCTCCCCTTCCCAAATTCTCCATTTTTGTGCACAATCTGAGCGTCAATTTTATAGGGAGAATTTACTGTACTACTTTCATCAGATAACTCTATAAATATAACGTTACAAAATAATTAATAAACAACGGATTCGATTCATTCATTGTAAAAATTGATAAGAGAAATACAGAATAGTGAAAATATTGAAAGAATTTAAGAACACTGTCACATTGTTTGCGATCGTTTAAAATTCTTAAAAAATGAACTACATTTTTATTTGGCACTAGTTTCTTGCAATTGCCGATCAAAATTTTTATTTTGCATAAAGATCCGCTGTCCAGCGATTAAATATATAACGTTATGAAGTTAAAATTTTGAAATTGAAGTTCAAAACATTTGATTTATGTGCACGTCTTAGAACGCTAAAATACACTAAAGTCTCCCTAATTGACGCTCAGTTTAGAAACAAAAATGGACAATTTTGGAGGAGAAGATGCGATTATTCGAGCCTTGCGTCTCGTTTTTTGTTGACAATCAGTAACTATGAAAACTGTAAAATATTATAAAATAAACTATAAAATAATCGTATCTCCTCCTCCAAAATTGTCCATTTTTGTGTACAAGCTGTGAGGGTCAATTAGAGGAGAATTTACTATATTTCTTTTGCATTTTGTTGGAAGAAGATTTCAATCGAGAGCGGAGAATTGTCGAATGAAATTAATTAATTGGTTTATGCATTTAAAAACGCTCCTGCAATTGAAACGTTGGCATCGTTCCCTAATTCATCGCAACATTAGATTTGTCATCGATAAAAGGGCCGGTTTTTTCTCAATAGTTAAAAAAATGCCTCCGTTTCCTAAGAAAGAAAAGCGCTGCTATTTTCCGCTGAAATAGTTCCCGCGCTCTGAAAAATATTTCTCTTTTACGCTCTTCGCGAAACGAAATTATCTGCTAATTTTTATCAGCATCAATTCGTTTCTTGGCCGATCTGGGCGTCAATTAGGGAGAATTTAATTGATCGATGTAATTGATCGATTCGCGCGATTTATTACGTGAAATCCGTGAACAACAGGGTATCGTTTCGAATTGTTCATCGGGACCCGAGAAACGAATTCGCTGCGCGGAGATAACGAGAGTGGCTTTCTTTGAACTTAAATTAATTCATTAATTAATCCGCATCATTTGCTGCGAAAGCTTTTCGACGAGGCTCGACAATTATTACCAATTATTTAATTATCCGTAACGTTTAATGCTATTAAGGTTTAACGGCGAATTTGTGAGAAATTAATAAAATGCACGATTTTGTGTGATAATTAGATTGCGGGTGTTTTTAATAACGTTCAATTATGTTAACAATTTCCTTCTTTCGGGATCGTGTTTATAATTGTCGATAACATTGAGTACCGACAAATTTATTTAATAGCAATTTTACCATTTGTTGGGTTAGCTTTAAAAATGTAATGGATGGTACCTTTTTTTATGTAATCAATTTTCTTCGTTCAGGGTCGTGTTTTGTAATTATCGATAACATTGAGTACCGTAAAATTTATTTAATAGCAATTTTACCAATTGTTGCGTTAGTTTTAAAAATGTAATGGAAGGTACCATTTTTTATGTAAACAATTTATTTCGTTCAAAATCGCGTTGTTTATAATTATCGATAAAACTGATTATTATTCAATACATTTAATAGTAATTTCACAATTTTTAACGAAATTCTAGAAACCTAACGAAAAAGTATCCCTTCGCGGAATAGTACAATCATTAGCATTTTCAACAGTCTTTATTCATGCAAACAATTTTCTTCGTTCAAAGTCGTGTTATTTACGATTATCGATCACATTTAGTATCATCAAATATATTGAAATTCTACCATTTATAATAAAGTTCTAAAATGGTAAAATGGTTTAGTACGACCATTTTTTCTGAGATCAGAAATATCTGTAACAATTTCCTTCTCTCTCTCTCTCTCTCTCTCTCTCTCTCTCTCTCTCTCATTCGAAATCATTTAATTTATTTCTAAAGAGTTCAATTCATTTATTCCTTAAATCATATACAAAGTAAAATTAAATTTACTATTAAAACTCTGCGGTGGTAGTAGTGGTGTAGTGTGTAACTAATTACCATTTATGCAACTAAATTTTCTCCATTTTATCCTGAGCCATTCGCTGCACAGTATTTTGCCGAATTCGACATTCTATTATCGCACGCTATGAGAAAAGTCCTCATATCGAAATAAACAAGCGGTTTCTAATTTTCGAAGACACGCGCGTGCCACGTTCGAAACAATTGCATCGTTTCCCCGATCAAATCATTGGATACAATAGGAGCGGGATAGAATCGAGTGTCCACAGAATGCACACGCATATACCCGCATATGCATACATATACAGACGACCGGCATTCGAACACGTATCGCGACGGGCCATCACGTGTTCGGTGTCGAATCCAATTAATGCCGGTTCCTTCGTCGCATTAAAACCGTGCGCTGGCTTCCTCTTCCATTGGGCTGCCTATTTACCAGTTGGCCGTGCACGGCCTGTCAAACAAGTCAACCGGAAACGCGGCTGTTTCCATTACCACCCGGTCCGCAGGGAGCGACAAGAGCTTCCGCTTCGCGAATTTCGCGAATTCTTTGGCCGAAAAGAAAACCGGAGTACGCGCTGTCTCGATGCATTCCGAATGCGTTGTCCTCTCGAATTGAATTTTCAGTGTATTACCAATCTCACTTCGAACGTTCTACAATTAAGTTGAAATTGTTTCCGGCAATTTTCTTTCGATAAGGAAAGACGAGATCGCATTGTCCCAAGGCGTGCCAAATATTCCTTCTACCAAATTGAATTGCATTCTCGGCAATATTCGACTTCTAATATTTCCGATTGAGTAGAAATTGTTTTCTGTAATTTTATTTCATTAAGAGAAGGCAAGAATGCATTGGTCTGATGCATAGTAAATGGTGTCTCCCTAAATTTTAATCTGTCTCTAATTTTACTTCAAACATTTTTTAATTAAATAGAAATTATATTCTGTAATTTCTTTTTTTTTGAAAAAAGCAAGATTGCATCGTCCTGATATGTCTCCATAAATTGAATTTTAATTTGTGACCAATTTTACATTTAAATAGAAATTGTGATTTTTCCAAATCGAATTTCAATCTGTCACTAATTTTAGTTCCAATATTTTCGATTAAGTAGAAATTGTTTTCTGTAATTTTCTTTTATTAAAAAAAGGCAAAAATGCATTGGCCTCATGCATACTAAATGATAACTTTCTAAATTGAATTTCAATCTGCCACTAATTTTACTTCAAACATTTCATAATTAAATAGAAATTGTTCATCGTGTTCATTCATCGTTCTGATTCATGCCAAATATTGCCACTATAAATTTAATTTTAATTTGCGACCAATTT